TGTTCAACATAAGAAAGCAACTCATACAGGTTTGGAACGACTTGAGGGTGAGTAAATGTTGACAGAATTTCCATTTTTGGGTGAACTATCCCTTTAATGATTCTTGAGCATCAAGCATTACTTGATTCTATCAAGATTTATAGAAAAAAAAACCTTCTGATTATCAGTCAGTTCAAGTCTTTCAAATGAATATTTCTTCCTGTATGAAGCAGTTGCCCTGATTTGTTGTGAATGTACCATGTTGGCTGAACAAAGTTCATAATGCACAATGAATTGATGACCTCAAAATCACATCCCGTCACATCTACTTGCAGGGTCACATTCTCTGCATAGGTCACATTGTTGGTCTCCAGTCTTTTGTGATGTTGAGAGACTGTAAGTGGCATGCAGTGAATCAGCAGTGCTCACACAACAGTGCCCTTCACATTCTTCCTGTTTCCTGTGCTATCAGACCAGAGTGTGGGCTGACGAGTCACCCTGCACACATGGGCCCTGTCATTCAAGGCTTAGATGACCCTGCATGACTTTCTCTTTTTCTCCTGCGAGATTCATGATGCATTAGATAATTTGGCATTCCTGAAAGGAGTGTGTTTCAGAGAGATACTGGCTGGCAGCGAATTGTTTTTCCACTTTAAGATCGTGCCAAGGCACAAGAATGTCACGATCTGAGAACAGGAAGGATGCAAAATCCTTCTATCCTTAACAGAACTGATCAGAATTCACACCCTCTCTGTACTGACGTTTTTGGCTTTGATCATTATTTACAAATCCTAATGGCTAATAAATGATCCCATTTTATCATGTACTGAGTTTTACATTCAATATTCATGCACCTCAGAGATTGTCAGTGTACTGTAGCACACAGGCAACACTTCAACTCTTCCATCATCCAGCAAACCACATGTCTAAACCACAGGAGGATCCTAACATATTGATCAGTAGCGGTGAAGCCATTGTTTTTCCGTCATGGATGATGCTTATTCATTTCCTGAAAGAGACCATTTACGGTAATACTCTTTGTGGTAAAACAATGATGATGATACACTTTATGCGCCAGCCTGGGTGAGAACTTATGACTGCATACGGTGTGTGTGTGTGTGTGTGTGATCTCATGTTGTTTCATTGCCAGGAAGAGTTTTTCCAAATAAAAATATTATAATCTGCACAGGTTAAGTGCAGCATCACAGACTAATGGGATTTTAGTGGTGGACTAGCAAATACATTCAAACAATAATTAAGTTAGTATATATTCCCTGCCAATATGTTTACAGATATAAAGCAAATTTGGGGGTTAAAATGGCATTTTTTGAAATTACATACTGCATCTATAATGGCCTGCCTAAATATGATTTTAGATACGAAGTATTGGGTGTCTGGAATAAACAAAGATTCATGTTTAAGAGAAAGAGAAATATATATATATATAATATTATTAATATTAACACTGCATTTTACATTCTTTTAAAACAAAGCGTATTTTTGAACGGTTCAGTGTACTGTAATTATCGCCATAGTTCTTGACTATCAGCTGTGTGCTCTGGTTTATCAGGATCACATTATTTGGTTCACACTTGATCGACTAACCGTCCATATGGACAGCACGGGATCAATGCTTCTCTCGGCCTGACACAAGCGCATCTTACATTTCAGCCATATCAGTGACCGCTCTTTCCTTAAATCTAAAAATCATTCAGATGCGGTAGACTAACAGCCCTCTACAGTGCAAGTGAACAACTCAATGCAACAAACCAAGAATGCTGTCATTAGCCTAATCCACTAGACTGTCTACACCGCAAGTGCGCCCTGCAGTCGCATAGTAAACTGAATTTGTTTTTATTTTCTATCAGAGAAATTACATAAACAGACTTTACCTAAAACAGATTAAAGGATTGTTGTGTAGCCTATGCACAGTAGTGCATGTTGGGCCTTTTTGTTGTTGTTTTCTATTACTTTATAATTAAATTATAATCTTCTTTTATTTTGTTTTAAGACCAATCAAAATTATAAACTTTTTAGGATTCTGGAGTGCAGATTTTACAGATTTAAGTCATGAAAAACTAGAATAGAATAGGTTGCATATACTGTAAGGTTTAGACTAGTCTTACAAGTTAGTTTTTATTTATTTATTTATTTTAAGACGATAGATGTTAGTTCAGGGGAGCAGGGTTGTATAATAGCTTGTAATGTTTTTTTTTTTACGCTATATATACTCTATATATTTTAACATAGAGGCTAATTTTATGCAACTGGCCCCGGGTATTCCAGAGACATTGCCACTTGCACATATATGAATGGGTGAAATTGTAATGATAACTATATGGCAGCTTTAGTCCAGTCTTACAGTTAAAGAAATCATATTTTTGGAAAAGATATTCTAGTGCTCATTGTGAGAGTTTGACAGTGAAGTCCACTAAGCTGCATTTTAGTTTTTAGAAGTGAGTGTGCATTTGTGTGCCCTCAATGCACAATTCTACCCTAGTAATTAGTCATCAGTAATTATCCAATATAATATTTTTTGACATGAGTGACAAAGGCCATTGATGATGTACATCAGTACTCAACTTGCAATAAGCAATATGCAAATGAGCAGTGGCACAATGCTACCAGTGCATGAGAGCAGACAGAGATCTGTGACCAACCACCGCTGTATATCGCAGAGAATTTACACAATACATGTTAATGATATGCATACATACAGTATATTATATTTTTAATTTCCTAATTTAATTATCTAAAGATGTCATTCATTTTTCGAGATCTAAATGAATACCCAGAATGTGTAAGCGCACATATTTCGCCTATGAATAGTAACTTTGACAATAAATTCAAGCAGCTTGATGACACAGTGTTCATAAATTGCATCCGCGTGGATGGGGTGAGACCGGGTGAGACCGGGTGAGCCTCATCTTTCAAAAGTGACGTAGGGCGCTGAGGGGACAGGAGAGAGAGAGGAGGGGCGACGGGTCTCTCTCTCTCTCTCTCTTTCTCTTATTGAGCGCAGTGCAGTGCAGATTACGGCTGCTGTCCTCTCAGTGCAGCGGGAACTACCGCAAACAAGGGCTATATTAATACAACCATATTAATTACAGGCAATGGGGCTCTTTGACGAGGGGCTCTCTCGGAACCTGTGCATTTTGTCATTGCTCATTTGGACTTCTACAAGTGCATTTAACCTGGACACGCAAAACGTCCTTAGGAAGAACGGTCAACCGGGCAGCCTCTTTGGATTCTCTCTCGCCTTGCACCGGCAGCTCCAGCCGTATGATAAAAGAATGTGAGTAGAATCGGTTATTGAATAGCGTTGCGATTATTGACTGGTCAGGAGTCTGAGCAGATGCACGCTTTAGGCGCTCCAGATCCCCTTCATCTTCCATTCATCCTGCACCTGTGCCCCGTTCATTTTTAAACAGTAGTGTTACTTCTATCTCCTCTATAAGAACATGAAACGATGCGTTTAATAGTCTAACAGTTCGTAAAGAATTACACTTTTTTTTTTTTAAATGGTGAGATGTTAGTGATCGTCTGGTGATCAGCCCATCAATCGTCCAGCACTCATCAGTATTGAGCTGCGGCATGTGGGGGAAGGCATGCCGCTTGAAGAGGCTTCTGCTTACTTACAGACAACTTAACAATACCCGACGTGATGCGACAAGTCTCCAGTGGACAATGGCTTTTCACACTGAAAGAATTCAAAGAGCAATATCGCAAAGTCCGATCTTTAAAGTATGTGTTCTTCAGTGGTTATATTCAGCATTTTAGATTCAGCAAAGGATCCATATTATAAAGAATTTTTTTTTTTGGCTGAATTTGTCTCTTGAGTTAATTATATGGTTATTTGGAGATTTAAAAAGTTGTATAAAAAAAAAAAAAGTTACAAATTTTGAAATTTGTAGTTGGTGCTGTTTTGTGTAAACCACAGTTATGCCATTTAAGAACCATTCTGTGTTCCTCAAAGAACCTTTCAGAGAGCAGTTCTTAAAATAATCTTAGTGTGAAGACATTTTAATAATCTGAACAACCTTTTTCCACTAAACAACCTTCCACCTTTTTCCAAAACAAAAAAAAAAAAAAAGTTTTGTGAAATGGAAAGGTTCCATGGATGGTAAAAGTTCTTGATGAAACCATTGATGCCTTTATTTTTAAGAGTGTATGTGCCAGAATTATTTTCTAATATTGATTTATTATGCATACAAGCTTGTCTTTTAACTTCATTCATTCAACTTTATTCATGTCCCCCAAGGGGCAAATAGTTTTGCAGCAAGACATACAAACAAACATAAAAAGCACAAAAATAATACGAAAACACAAGCCTGATAATACAATTTTATTTGGTTTTTAATAGTCAGGTTGGTCATTTGGTTTTCAGATCAGTTCTTTTAACCTTTCTCTCAGATCTGTTCTCTGCCTGGTTCAGTTAAGGGTTAGATGCTATGATCTAAGGCTGTAAAACATCTGTCACGATGGGGCACTAACAGAATAACTTAGGGATCCTTTTTGAACAAGTTTGAAATGTAAAGACAAGTCACTCAGTTTGTAACTATTTTACGTTTTGGCAACTTGGTGGCTATTTTGTATGAATTTGTACGTTCTGCTTACACTGATGGTTTAAGGATTGGACTTTCATCCTTTTTACTAAAAATCACACATTTCTCTACAAATTGGCCACCTTGTAAAATAGCTATTTAAATAGTCCAGATGGTAATACGATCTAGAGTTAAGATGGAAGAAATGAAGTGTTGCTTTACAGAGACCATTTCTCTGCACGGCCTGAAATGATTTGAGATTTGCAATTAACGAAAAGGCTGAATGATTTACTTAGAGTGTGAGGGGGGTCTGTGCGTGTCTGTTTGTTCATTTGTGAGGGTGTTTAAACAGTTGTGTGAAATGAACAAGTGTGAGTTTTCTTGCGTGTGTGGTGAAAGACACCTGTTTATAGCATCTATGGTGCCATGAAAGTGTGTAGCACCTGTGACCAGGCTTGTCTGTCTGTCTTGTTGCCTGCCTGTTGATGTGTATGTCTAGGCCTTTTCATATTTCCAGTCTCATGTGGATTTTGTTGATTCTGGTGGGGTTAGTGGATTGTGTGAATAATGTATGCAAATCAGTATATGCTGGTGCTCAATCTTTGGGTGTTTGCCAAGCTGCTGCTAGCAGCACAATGGTTCACACAGGTCATTTCCAGGGTGAAAGCAGTATCAGATACACTTCATACATTGTTCTTCTCAAACCACTGCACATTAATACCCATGTGAGACTGTAAGAAGTAGGTAGCCAGCTCAGCTGTAGCAATATGTGTGCATTTCTGATTCTTATGTCTCTTTTTAAATGTTTTACCAAAACCATTGTAGTTGAATACATTGTGGGTTACATTTGACATGAGCCGAGAGTTTCCATACATCTTTTGGCTATTGTATTTAGTGTATAATCAACACATTGGCTGCTTGGAATTCTTCAGCAGTTTGCAGGTATTTTGTCTGTTTACCCCGAAAGAGGATGAGTTCTGTGGGGTAAAGGTTAGGCACACAGAGGGGTCTACCAAGGAATATGCTTCAGCAGGGACGCGGGAAGTAGGGGTGCTGAGGGGGCTGCAGCACC